GTGCTTCTCGTGTTCGCGTGTTTACGTCTCGCGCATTATGTTCTGTCATAACCGCTGATCTATCTCTGACTGCACTTAAAGTGATATTAACACATTCTAATCACCCAAATCAAGTTCATCATTCATCTCAGATGGCCTATATCAGCTCTAGTGGCTTGACATGTTACAAAATATCCATCCTGTTTTCTCAGTGTCTAGCTTTGAGAGAGAATTACTCATGTCCAAAACACTAATTTAACGGTCACAAGTCATTAGAATAGCACACGTAAATTATTAAATTGAGTGGTTTTGCACTCTGAGGCAGAACTTCAAGATGTAAGTGATTCATACTCTAATTGGAGTGGATGTGTGCTTTTGCTCAGTAGCCAGTTCGTACGATTGGGAATGGGGATGCTGGCAATCAGGATGTAGAAAATGTGTGTGTGTGTCTGTTAGTGTGTGTATGTGTGTGTCAGTGTTAACAAGAGAGACAAATAGGAACAGAGAGAGAAGCAGGTGCATCACTAATGGCTTTTTAAAAAGGTTACAGCGTAGCGCTCTTCTTTTCTAATGGGGCTCTGGCTGTGCTTGAGAAGCAATTTCCGGAAAAGATAATGTTGTCGAGAGAGTGCAGAGAGTTCTCTGTTTGCGTGTGTGTGTGCGTGCGTGCGTGCGTGCGTGCATGTGTGTATTTGTGTTGTTATTAACAAGACTGACAAACACAAACTCAAAGGAACACAAAGAGGGGCGGGAAGAGATTGGGGCAATTGAGAGAGAAAAGAGAGGGAGAGAAATTGCCTTTGTCTTTATTGCAAAGTAATTGTGCCATATTGCATTGCATTTATTAGTTGACGAATAATGCCTGCTCCCGGGCCAGCAGAGGTCTCAAGCCACAATAAATAAATAAATAAAATTTTCTCTTTTAGCATATTTTTACATTCATAATGTGGGGTTTGATTTCATAAACATTAAAGCTGGTGAGTCCTGAAAGCTCCTCTCTTGCGCTTCCCTTTCCCAGTAACCATGGTAAACAGTGCCACCCTGTGTCCACAGTTATCTGCTTCAACGTTTTGAGCCACGTTTCTGCAGATTCACAAGGAATAAAGCTGCAATCCCGAAATGCTGCAGATTTTAATAGTATATTGATAAAGACAGATTTAGACAAATGTACTTCCAAGTGCGCGTTAGATAATTAAATGCAAGTGCATATGTAAATACATTTGATGTGTTGATTGGTACATCTTAAACAAGAAGTTCAATTAAGACCACTAAGGGGCAGTACTTTCCCATTACTGCCTGCATGCTTTACAACAAACCCTGTAGTGTTTACACTGTGAAATTGACAAAATTAGTAACAGTCGGCTTTTCAGAATGTGATGTTGATGAGAATTTTATTATTTTATATTTATTTATTATTTTCCTAAAAAGGAAATGAGTGAAGCAATCACAGATGCAGACTAATTGTGGTTGTTGTGGTATCTCCAGGAACACTTCACATAAGAGAAACCCTTTTTGTGAAGCGTAGTGAGAATCTAAGATCACAGTTTGAGTCAAGCCCTAATTTCTAATATAAAGTCTTTTTGTGTCGAAATAGCAAAACGGTGTGCTGTACAATACACTGAGTACTTGTAGTATGTATTGTGCAGATGTGTGAAACTGGATCATGACTCCAGAACCTGAGCACAGACAGATCTTTCCCACAGATCATCGCATGTCATGACATACAGCAGCAGGAAAAATGGAAATTGAATTCCATCTAGTGGCGTGCTGGGTCACAGTCACACTGTCCCAGCTAGAATTCTTGTAATCAGTCACGCCGGTGTTTCATTTAAAATGTCTAACACCAATCAGCTGCAATGTTAAAATCACCAGCCTTATATTCTGTCCGTCTAGTTCTGACTCTAGACACCTCTAGCAGTGCCCTGTGGTTGGATAACCACTGTGGATCTGGTTCATTTCAGTCAGAGACATTATAATAGAGAGACATGGCACTCATATTCAAATCAATGGCAAAATGGTGATATTAGTATAATTTCCAGGGGGGAAAAAAAGGAGTTTTTAGAAATTCTTTTAGGGGCAAAGTCAGCACACCACTGCAGCTGTTTTTATTGAATTTGTCCCATGATGGGTTGAGATAATTTGGACATGTAAAGAGGAGGGATAGTAGATTCATTTATTTCAGCCTGTACTACTTGATTATTCCAGCATCGCCCATCATAACATACACTGGCATCAAAAGACTTTCCTTGTAGACCTTCACTGGCTTAAAATAGTTATTAAAAAATATTATTGCTGGTTTTTAAATCGCTGCATAGTCGGTTTGTGGATGCGCTCTGCATCCATAAACTGCTGACTCCATATAATATTGCCTGAGATCTTCCAACATGACCTTTATAAGTAATGCCAAAGACTTGTCAGGACACTAAAGATGATCAAGCCCGTGCACCCTCAGCAGCACGACTGTGTAATTCCCTGCACGAAGAACTCTGTGAGATAAGTGTGATTTATTTGTATTGTTTTGCTTCTTTAAACCATGTGTACTTGTTTTCAATTGTTTCCACTGAATTTGAAATTGCTTTAAGTTCCAGTGAAGTTATTTTTGCATTTTTCAAATTTGTACATTCTTATTCTTTAGCACTTTGTATGTTTACTTTGTTCTCTAAAAATCCAAAAAAGTCAAAGCCAAATAAAGGGTGCTGTCAGGGAAGAGGAAAAGAGGAAGACCACAGAGACGCTTCATGGATGTAGTGAAGGAGGAGATTGATTTTTCTGGTCACTGTTGTCAAGATTAACAGAAACCATTTGTCCATTTTCTTCAGCTAGCTAATTCAGGGTCACGGGGAGGCTAAAATAGGGCAAGTAAAGGGTACACCTGGGACATGTGATTCAGCGCTAACACAGAGAGAGACCTATGGCTGGTTTAGTATTGCTAATAAACCTAACCCTGTGCATGTCATTAGACTGTGGGTGGAATTACACAGAAAAGCCTCAGCCGCCTGTGGATTTGAACCCAGGACTCAGGGGTGGCTGTAGCTGGGGGTAGTTGGGTTTGGCTAGAATGGGTCATCTACTAATTGATGGTTGGTTGGTGGTTTGATCCAGACTGCATGCAGAATTCTTGTAATGGGGCAAGATACTAACCCCAAGTTGCTCTTTGACACAGAGTATGAATGTATGTTAAAGTTATGTAAAAAGCACCAAAGCATAGTGAATATTTGTGTGAATGGCAAGTTATATAAAGTGCTTTGAGTGCTCAGGCAGAGTAGTAAAGTGCTATATAAGAACCGGTCCATTTACCATTCTTGCTAGCTGCCCAACTGAAACAAATTGTCCAAAAACCGTCACTTGCATGTGCAGCATGCACCACTACTGAATGTCCGGTATTTCAAATAAGACCATGCAACAAAAAAAAAAAAAAAGAAGAGTAACACATAAAATCCATATCCTCATTAACGGTAGCAAACAAAGTGAAAATTAGAAAATGTAATTCACCAAGCGGTGTGTTATAATTGTGATTTATTTTGGTAAATAAATACAAAACAGTGACATTTCAACATGAAAATAACATTATTTAGACAGTTATGGTATTCTCTATCTCTTCAGTTATTTACAAAGTTTCACCGTAGGTAATCACAGAGCTATAATGAGCACCTGCTATAACAGGCATTGTTAAGAAGCCTTGGCAGGGGTCCTTCGAAGGCCTGCAGTTACACACATGCACAAGTGTGTAATTATAGCAGCTACTTTTGACAGTTTAACTTAAGAAAACAGATTGCCAAATTAACAGTTATGCTGCCATACAATGTGCTCATTATAAACATACACACAAATATGCACACGCACGCACACACACGCTTAATAAAACCTTAACAACGTCTTCTTTATATAACCCAGTGTGTAGAGTAGTATACCCTCCCTGGAGTGTCCTTTTGAACTGAGCAGAAGCAAGCAAGTTGTGAGCCAAACACCCCAATTTTATGCTTTTAGATTTCACACACTTCTCCGCTGTGCTACATTCCTGCTTTAGATCAGGCTACTACTCATGTTCATACAAGACAGCTTCAGGTAGCTTCACATTTTTCACACAATAAAACATAATGTGGTATATACTGTGTAAAAAAAAACAAAACTATATTCTGTACAAAAGTATACACAGCTCAGAGGGCTTACCTCTGTCTTACACACTGGTCTGTGCCATCACTGTTAGAGAATCGGTGAGAGGAAACACTGATGGAGCTAGGAACAACTAGACAGGACAGATGCATGAACTGCAGCAAACTGATGTCATAACCACTCTTATTACAGACTAGTTTTGGAAACACCAGCTGATATAAATGTAGGAAACATCATACAGGTGTCCAGTATTTAGATGAATGTACTCTGGAATAAAAGACGATGCATGGAAGTGTTAAAAAAGGGGACGAGGGAAACAGACAAAAGGGATTTTGTTTTTACAGACTTTCACATTGGAACAGGCAGTATGTCAAATCACAGAGCTCTCCATAATGTTTCACAGGATGGAGATTAATCCTACAGTACATTTAGAACACACACCTGAATAGAAAGGAATAAGGATATTTGGAAAGTTGGTGAAAATCAAATGCTGTTCACTTCGAGGATGAATTAAATGATGCCACAAAACACGTGGCATCACGAGCACAGCTGTGGTGTGTATAAATCTCTCTTCTATCACGTCACACAATATAAAATAAAAGAAAATAGGATACAACACAGTTTCGTGAACACTGAGTCGGTTCATCTGTGCTATAATTTACAAAAGTGCTTTCTCTTTGACAGCATCTCTTATTGACTTTGAGGACAAAAGAAAATGTTAATACTCTCGATGGTACGTGTATTCTTATTATAAAGGTCTTTGTTCTTATTCCTGTCCTCTGCTTGTTTCTATTTAATCATCCTGAGTGTTACAAAATGGTCTTGAGGGCAATTCACTTGTGCCTGGGATTTTCTTCGATCCCCAAACCCTCAGCGCTGCTGAGTTGTTTTTTTAATCGTTTTTGTTGTTGTTGTTGTTGTTTTTAAAATATCAAGTCATCACCAGCCAACAGTCTTTATAGTCTTTGTGGAAAAACTGGACAAGAAAGCAGGAAACAGTATTGCTTTAACAGCTCTGGCTTTGGCGAGTCATGAAATGGGTCTTTTTCACCCAAAGGAGAAGGTAGGCCACCGTGGATGACAAACAGGACAGTGCAAGGTAAGGAGGGCAGGTCTCTGTCTCCGTCTGGTCCTTAGCAGATGGCGAATTTTGGCCAGGCTCGCTGTGTGTGATTTTTGCTGGTTTGTCTCATGTGACGGGTGGACCTTCAGACCTGGGTGGATTTGACTCGTCTGAGAGGCTTTCGTCCTTCAGGGTGGGCGTGGCAGGGCGGGGGGCACTCAGTGGGCAGGTCTAGACTGCGCTGGTGAGGCAACGTCGTGAGGGGAGGAGCACATCGGGAGGGGCAGGGGACGGGATTGGCTGATGGTCATGTGATCTCAGAATACGGTAGCCCTGGAGCCTAATGGGAGGACACAGGAAAGGGAGGGGAAGACGAGAGAGAAAATTCATATCAGAACACATTGTAAAATATTTGGGAAGTTCAATTTGAGCGAAAAGGGCAAATGAACTTGACTAGACTGAGATAATAACAGTAAAAAAAAAAAAAAAGCCCAGTGATGATGTCTAGACAAGAGAATGGACACACAAAGCTGGGATATCAGACAGAGATCAGAGCATCTGGTACACATTAAGACATAATGAGTCAAACAAGACAGGAAGATCATTCCATAAAAGATCCATAAAATCTGACCCCTCAAATCAGCTGACTTTTTTTTAGTATATAAAAACAAAGCCTTACAAAGTTGCTCCTTCATACTGATGTATGAAAATTTTCTCTAATAGGTTGTCTTGTTGCACATATGCTTTATGAAAATATCAATTCCACAGGTCTCTGGGTGCGTGTTGTTTTGTCACTATGGTTTTTGTATATTCACGTCAAATTGCAATCCAACCTTTGCACATACAATCACTGGCAGTCACTGGTACATCTGTTCAATTGTTTAATAATGCAAATATTTAATCACATAGCAATAATTGGGTCCATTTAGATCCATGTACACATGGTCACGCTGACATCCTGAAGTATAGTCAGACTGCTTCGAGGTAATAGAAAGTAAAGAGTAACTTTAATAACCATTAATCACATCCAAGCTATGCAGAAGAGCATATCTGAACACATGTTAAACCTCAAAGCAGATCAGCCACAGCAGCAGAAGATCACCTGGTGTGTGCAACTCCTATAAATTGCACAGGAAACAGAAGATTGGAAAAATGCTGCCCAGTCTTATCAGTCTTGATTCCTGCTGCGACATTCAGACAGAATCAGAATAAAATATCAACAACATGAAAGCACTGATCCATCCTGCCTTTGATCAACAGTTCAGACTGCTGGTGTAATGGTTTGGGGAGTATTTTCTTGGCAGTCTTTGGCTCCCTTTGAACCAATTGAGCATTGTTTCACTACCACAGCCTGCCTGAGTATTGTTGCTGACCACGTCTATTCCTTTGTGAGCCGAGCAGCTATGTTCTGATGGGTTGAACATGACAATGACATCACCGTACTCCAATGGTCTCCATAGTTACCAGATCTCAATCCAATAAAGCACCTTAGGGATGTGGGGATTGGGAGATTCAGAATGTGGATGTGCAGCCAAGTAAAAATCTGCAGCAACTGTGTTTCCAGCACCTTGTTGAATCTATGCGATGAAGCATTAAGGCTATTCTGAAGGAAATGGATGTTCAATTAAAAAAAATGGTTAGTTGTTAGTAATGATTAGTAAAGGATTTCAACACAAAGGAATCAGAGCTGGAAAATGAACCTGGCATCAAAACAAAAGACCTTTTATATTCTACTTGTTGTGACCAGCCACCTCGATCACTTGTGGATATGACCCTTAAAAGTAAATGCTTTTTTTTCTCTGTTCCCCTACATTACAGACTACATCCCATGATATTGACGCTCAAAGCTGGTTATAGAAATAAGAGAAAACATGCATAACAATAGATAAGATCTGGGTTTAGACTATAGCACTCAAAGTGGGTGTAAAATTGATCTGAAGCTCAAAAAAGATCACAAACACTGGAAAATATGTAATATCATGGCCTGTAATATGTCAAGTTTTTTTTTTCTATAATGTTAAAAATTTATATAGTTTTTCTAAAGACACTACAGCTGATTCTGAGGAGGTCAGGTTGGACGTACTCACTGATTTGTCATGGAATGAAAATGCCCAAACATTTCGATAAAAAAACAAGTACATGCACATTTAAAACATTGTTTTGATTGCTTTGGTACATTTCGTTTCCCCCACCCCTTACCTGGAGGCCACTTAACTTTTCAAGTGGACTCTCCACGCGGGGCAGGCTGAGAAGAGGCAGCCCAACGGGGGGCTCTGAGCGCTGAGGAGGTGGAGGAGTCGACGCTGCTATCTGGGTTGGCCTGAAATTGTTGATCACACATGACACCTGGTAGAGAGCAGACAAAAAAGGTGTAAAGGGAAAAGCAAGGGAGAAATTCGCTCTACTCCACTATAGAGATGGATGATTTTCTGCTGCATGAAATGCTGAAGTGTGCATGGAAACAGATAGTGAAGTGGGAGAGACTGAGATAAAAGAAAGAGGGATAGGCAATGAATTTTGCAGGGAGGCATGGAAAGAAATTTATATTCTTAGGGACACACCAGAAATGACTTTGATCTTTGAAGTTAATACTGATACTTTGGGTCAAGAGGTCCAACACTAAATGACATTATTTGAATTATCAATATAAAAGACTCTGTTTAGTCCACGCTTTTTTTCTTTTACAGTCATGTATGGAAGTGCATCCTTTTTGTAGCCTTAATCATCAGTAAATCCTCCCACCATCATTACCACATTTCTCCCTTCAACATGTCCCACACACAGAAAATGGAGTGGAACAGATCACAGTTTGAGTTTTTATGATGGTGAAGGCTCAGAAAGTACAACATCCACAAAAACAGCATGTAAACTCGAGAATGACAAGAAAATGAAACTAAAATGCAAACAGACAAAGGACAGTGACATACGAAAAGCACGCTGGTTATGTTATTCATTTATTTTTGCAACGGTTGTTCTCTGTAACTGTAAAATGGAAATACAATAAATGTGAATTAAAATTCTACCTTTAAATCACACATTTAAATACAAGAATACAAATATTAACAGAACATTCAGTCAGTTTAGTCAGAGAAGATTGTGATGTCCATTGACAGTAATTTATATTTGACAGCAAGGCCTGATGGCTACAGAACAGAGCAGGCATCGATGGCAGCAGACGTGGCATTGATTAAGTCAGGCACAGAATGAAAATAAGGAGGGTGGAGGATGTAGGCGGGTTGCTGAGCAGCTTGCAGAGATAGAAGCAGCTGTAGGCAGCTTATAGCTACTGACAGCATATAAGGTGACTGTGTTCCTATCTGGAGGTGTATAAATAGGCTATGATCTATCGCCTCTTTCACCCTACTTTCTTTTACTACCCCTCTCAGTGTTTCCTCCCTCCCTTTCTCCTTCTTACCAGAAAGGCAGCAATGGCACCACCCGTTACGAATCCAGCCAGAACATCGTTCCAGTGGTTCCTGTGTTCAGTCACCCTCACCACCCCAACCAGCACAGCCAGAGACAGCAGCACCAAGCATAATGTGGGCTTCATCAGGCGGGTCCCTTTTGTCCTGAACACCAGAGTCACATACATCTGGAAAGCAGTAATATACTGAATTAACAGAACATTTAAAAAACGAACCTATCTTAACAAAGCAAAGAGTTGAACAATGTGTTGAAAGCTCAAGCAACAAGCTGAGATAATGCAAAATATTCTAGACACTGACTAGCTTAATAGTTCAAACAGCTTGAGTAAACCACAAGAGGCCGCACTCTGCAGGGATTTTTGAACAGCTGAGTGGTTTATCCGCAGGGAAAGCAGCATAATAAAACCACCGCAGCTGGTTTAAAGGTTCTAAAATGACAGGAGCAAGTTAATGTAATTCCAGAGAAAAGAGGCAGAAGGGTGTGCGTTCTTTTTGTCCAACTTAGTTAAGTGAACGTTTTTTACTTTATAATCTCTTACATGAACATATTTTAATTCTGAATATTCAAAACTTTGAAAGTCGGGTATAAAACTTGCCAGTTTGCAGAGGGATTGTTTTAAGAAAAGATGATTTTCGGTTTGCTATGCTCTATAAAATATATAATATTAATATAAAGACTGTGTTCAAGCTGTTTATTTCAGTATGTTCGTAAAATGTAGATTTATCTAGGGATAATCGGGAGTTTTACTTCTGTTTTTTATTTGTGCACATACCTTAAAATGTGGTTGAAAGAACTACCAGGCTTAACCTTATATTTGTCATAACTGATGTAAAGTGGTAGCATTGGCTAGTGTTTGAATCCTGAGACATATGATTCTGTAACCCCAGGATCTCCAACGTGGAGATGGAAATGGACGGCTGCCTCGTGTTTGAGGAGCAAGTGACTCTGGGATGGGGTATAGAGCCACATGGCCATGACAAAAAGGAAGATGCACACAAATGCCAATTTAAATACAGTTTATTTTAAAGAAGAAAAGAACTTTAACTAACTATAATGGATGTAGTCAGTACAATCAGCGGTGTAAGTTAGAGCATGGGTAAAGAAATGGTTCATGCAGTGTTGTTTAGTGTAAAAATCCAAACCACAGAGCCACCCAGCAACTGAGCTCAGAGGCATTTCATAGAACGCTGGTGTGCTCAAAACATCACTTCTAGATGCAATAAATCAGAAAACTGGAGTTCTGCAGCATGTGAACCTTTCATTCTTTTCAGTGTCACTGATGGGAAACAAGCCACACCAGCCCTCCAGTGCCTGTGGTTAAGACCAGCCACACAAACAGGTTGAAAGGAAGGAAGGGTGGAGGTGGTTGTCACGGGATGAAGATCAGTTCATAGAGGTACATAGGGCCAAGACTGTGGAGGGACTTGTAGAAGATCTCATATTTATATCAGTGCACTCTATTGGGAGCCAGTGTAGGCAGAGAGTAGGGTTGATGTGCTGCCAGGATTTAGTGTGTGTCAGATCCAAGCAGCTGAAAAATACTTAACAGTGGAAAAAAATAACCATGTTTTCAACCTGGTACAAAAACCTGTTTGGACATCTATACATTTACAAATATATGGGGGTAGTCTATTCTATTATTAGTTTTTTAAATTACAGACTGTTGAATTACAGGTGGCTGAGGGCTCCAGCTACGTGCCAGTGTTTACGTCAGCTATCTGAAACCAGCCATGTTTTCATTTCACTTCCTTTTGAAGCATTTTTACTGTAATTATTTGACAGATATGTATGATTAATTGCACAGCCAGTCCAAGTAACCTATACTCCAAATTTGATGAGTAAAATTATAGTATTTCATTTATATTTCTTCTGGCACAAATTGGGAGGTGTATGTGTCTGTGCAATTCACCTGTACAGTCTGTGGATGCACCTTGCTTGCCAAGCTCAGCAGCTGATAACTCAGCGTTCAGCATTAGCTAGACTTGAATAATAGTAAAAATGTTAAACAATATAAACAATATTAGTCTACTTTAAGCCACTTATCAGAAACTTTTCTGGTGCTTTGTTGTGTGTTATAGCTCTTCTAAAGACTCTTCATAAAGTAAAACCAGATCATCAGTCATCTCATCCGGTGCATCACCCAGACTCAAAAAAGAAAGTCTCCTACCACCGTGTAGATGGCTGAGTAGAAGCTGAGCGCTGCATCTTTGGAGGGGAAGGATTTGCGGGCGGACACCACCAGATACGGGTTTCCTGTGCAGGCTCGGTGCTCTGCGATGTACTGCAGTGGAGACTGGCAGCCCAGAGCTGTGTAGTTTGGCTTACAGGCAGATAGGAAATGAGGCGTCTGGTTTCCTGTCACCACCTGACCGGCATTGGCAAAGATGGTGGTGGTAAAGAGGCCGAAAGAGTACACACCTGAGCGAAAGACAGACAGAGTGAAAGTGAGGGAGCGTGTACAAGAAAACAAGCACTCTCCTGGGATTTCAGCTGTTATTGTTGATTTTATGTGTTTCGCACCAAATGACTAGACAGAAACAGTCTTTGCTTTTATGCTTCAGAACCTCAGTCTGTCATACAGATGTGGTGAAAAAGATCACAGAGCATCAACAGAATGGGACATAAAAATAAGGCTAACGAAAATGCGTCCACAGGAGACTCATGTTAAGGACAAGGGCTTTTTGTGTTTAGTCTACATACTGTAAGATAGAGATGTAGTGGTGTGAGCCTTAATGAGGCTGCACCCCAGAGAAGAGAGGATTTATTAGTTAAAGCAGAAGAAGCTCTGATCTTTAAGACTGTGACTGACCCAGAAAACGTACGATCCTACGGAGGAGAGGGTTGAAGTAACAGCAGTCAGCCGTCACTATGGTCTTCTCCTGAGCGCCTTCTGTCTTCACAAAAAAACTGGTCACCTCCCCGATAAGAATCTGGGACACACACACACACACACACACACACACACACACACACACACACACACACACACACACACAC